CCCAGTGGGCAATGTAATCTTGGATTCTGCTACCGATATGGCATAGGCACTACTAAGGATGAAAAGAAGGCACTTGGGTGGTATTTAAAATCTGCTAAAGGTGGTAACTCTGTTGGGCAACGTAATCTTGGATTCTGCTATGAAAAAGGCATAGGCACTACTAAGAATGAAAAGAAGGCATTTGAGTGGTATTTAAAATCTGCTTCAAGTGGTGATGTTATTGTACAATATAATCTTGGATTCTGTTATGCAAAAGGTATAGGCACGGTTAAGAATGAAAATAAGGCATTTGAGTGGTATTTAAAATCTGCTGAAAGTGGTATTCCTGATGGGCAATGTAATCTTGGATACTGTTACAGACATGGTATAGGCACTACTAAGGATGTATTAAATAAAGTTATTCAGAAGATCAAAATATATATTTTCTAAAGGCTTGATACCAATTAACGCTTTATTAATGTATTTTTATTTTCTATGTCTTACAAATTGAGAACCAGGGTTTAAATTTAATTCGAAACCTAAAGGTTTTAAAACCTAAACTAGCTTTACCACCCCTACTTGGAACTATTCCAAAGATTTCTTGTAAACTAAAATCTCGGAATCATAAGTTGCTTTTTCTTGCGCGTACAGGTCTTCGAATGGCTTTGATGTAAAAATAATAAATTCATGAATAAAATAAGATAAATAAAAAATAAAAAAACATTATAACATAAAGTTACCTTCTTTTCTTCAGGACTCATTGATTTCCATCTCTCAACCAACTCATGAGTTTGTTCGATAAATGTCTTAGATTCATCAAAATTTTTATTTGCCGAAACAAATTGTATAAAAGCAGTTCTTGGACGCTTTGGTTTTCTAGAATCTTTCAAAAGCCTTACATGTTTACCCTTCAATTTCCCCAATTTGCGACGTTCATTTACTCTAACAATATCTTTTGAAGTCAAAGATTCTTTCCAGGCTTTAAAATCATCTTCATATTTAGATTTAGCATTTCTATATTTTTCCCAATACGCCTATAATTTTGAATTATAACAGATAATGTAAAAAAAATCAAAGATATGAAATAAAGGGAAATAGAATATAAAAATGAAATATATACTTCTTTTTCATCATTAGATAAAGATCTCCATTTTTCACCAGCTATTCTGCCAATTTCCGTAACTTTTAAAGTAGCATTCTCAGGCTTGAATTGTTTATAGAAATCAGTGAAAAATATGGTGTACGGGGTACCAGGACTTTTAGGACCTTCAGGAACTTTAGAAAGTTGTAAAAATTAAGTAAAAATAATAAATGAGACGAAATAAAAATAAGAAATTATAAAAAGGTTAAAGAAATAATACCAGGCCCGTCATCTATAGGTTTAACAGTTTTAGTCTTGGTTCGGGGTTTAGTAGTAGTTTTTTTTGTTGCACTACTTTTTTGCTTAGTTGTTCGTGGTTTACCAGTTGTAGACTTAGGAGCTTTTGTTCTTGTGGAAGTTTTTGCAGTAGCATATTGTCGTAATAAACCAACACTAATGACGTGACCAGAATTTAACGACCCTAATAAGCGCGTATAATTGTTAGGAGAAACTACTTTACTTAAAGACTAAAGACGAAACCTAAAACCGGCCAAAGACGAAAAACGAAATCCCTGTCGAATTGACGAAAGAGATATAGTAGTTGATAGACGAAACAAATTTTCCATGTTGTCGAAATGAAAGACAGGTAAACACAATTCTGATACACGAAATTTACACCAAAAAGTACCCTGGTCGTGGTTTGATTAAGTGTAACGTAAAAATCACGCCGACACTATAACCTAATTTTGCCTACAGTAAATTAAACTACCTGGCTAGAGATGGGCACTATGCAGCATGGTGTTTAATTGTTACATGATTAAAATTAAGAAAATCACATCGGACGTTAATTTTTACATAAATTATAATATGTGATGATTAAGCATCATGCTGCATAGTGCCCATCTCTATACCTGGCACTACAGTGCAGGCGTCTTAAATTACTTAAATTAGCTAAAAAAATAAAATAAAATAAATAAATAAAAAATATACGTAGCTAAAAGATTTTTTAAAAATATAGCTTTTTTTGATATAGCAAAATGTGACAATATTAATAAAATAAAAATTTGGCCATATATGAGTGTCGTTAAAAGAAAACCCGAAAGTTTAAATGACTTATATTTAAATTTTCGGGCTTTCTTTTAGCGACACTCATATATATATATAAGGACTTAATTAGGCATCGCAACCTGCGATGT